GATATAATGACTATCTTCTTATTAAAATCTATCTGTTATTTCGTGACTTCACACACGCGTGAATTATAGCCTGTGTCAACTGCGTATAATGTAGTGGCTACACGTATAATATAAAGTAAAGAATTTTTAAAATAGGTCTAGAATATCTGATGTGTCAATCCTACATTAAATTCGGGAGTCGACCCCCATATTAATATTCACTTTAGACAACACAAAACGATAAAGTTCACAGGAAATAAAACAGGCACAAGCACTAAAAATGAAGATTGTATTAATAACTCACAGAACAGAATTGAATTACAAGGAAAGAATTACATAAAATAGCAAAAGTTTGCTAATTATTATAAATTACAAATATATCGGTCATGCGCAAGCAAAGCAGAGTAAATAAGAGTTATCGTTGTTCGGCCGACGACGGCGTGACAATGCGAATAAGCACGCATCAAGGCGAGCGCGTACGACAAGGATGCGCATACGCTCGGCGAGCGACGTAACGCGTGACGTCAGTCATCGCCGCTGGTCCAAGGTGTACGGCTCCTAGTCGGTACGGCACTCGTGCGCCCGAAAGTGGCTGACGTAGCCGATTTTAGCCGTGAACTTCCATGCGCACTTGTTACACACCTTGCTCATAATGGTATTGTATGACAGCAGGCTGGCGGAACTTCAGCATGTCGCGTTTAGTGTCGAGGTCAACTTTACGTTGCTCCTCGAAATCGCTGACTCGCTTATGTACCAGACTGCGCCATTCGGGACGTTTTGCTGCCAGATCCTCCCACTCTGAGGGCTCGATATTGCATCTTTTCATATGCCGCTTCTGAACATTCTTAAATCTCAGGAGTTGGCCGCCATGCTTTCGCTCGCCAGTTCAGAGTAAAAGATGCGCTTTGCTACTCTCTCCTCCGCCATACGCGAAACGTGACCGCACAAATTTCTCCACTCGATTTTAAACCTTAATTCTAAGTTCGAAATCTCTGATAGCATGACGAGTCGTGTGTAATATACATATGAGTCGTGTTAATATACACACGACTACACGATGTAATAAACACGCCGGAAATGTGTAATTTTCCGAAAGCCGAACATCTCATCTAACAGATACATAGAAGTCTATTTTACTCAGATATATCGTAACCATCACCCACCAGATATATAATGTTTTCTTCGAAAAAAAAATATAGTGAGAACTGACCGAAGTGACCAAACTATATAAAGAATCTTATTGTTTTGTTCTAGATTTAGCTAAGTAAATAATATTTAATATTGTTTATTTTTTTATTTTCTTTCAATTTGAATTTTATCTTAATGTCATATATATATAGCAGCTACGGAGAGCGTTCTTCCCCCTTTCCTATTTCTTCTCACTGTGTCGAATTAAGATGTTGATGAATTTTTGGATTTGGGAACAATTTACCATTATAAATAGGACTCGATGAAATATTTTACTCAGGTACTATTCCTAGCAAAAATATTGAGATGTAAACCATCATCTTATGAAACACAAACATCTCCTTCTTGTTGAACAACTTTGGTTAATCCGTGTTACCGGGAAAGCGTTGCTACATTAGAAAAACAAGCTGTTTCCAAGATTAAGCCATTAGTGGTTTAAACAAGTCTACGAGTTTGCGAGGGAAACAATTTACCCCGTTGGGCTTTTAATGTTGCCATATGTTACAAAGAGTTGAACACTCAAGAAGATTTAAGAATAGTTTTAATGAAAATTACTTAAAATATATTAATCATTAGGTATAGCAAGCTCTATGGTGCAGTGGTTAGTCCGCTCGGTGACCAAAAATGTATTTTCTCGAGCTCCTTAGTGCTTCGGAAGGCACGTTAAGCCGTCCCGGCTGCATCTGCAATCATTAATACCCACCAATAAACACTGGTCCCGCATAGTGGGTCGTGGCCCGTTCTCCATATTCGACTTTATTATTTTCAATTCCATACATAGAGAAGGCCTGAGCCCCAGATGTGGGGACGTGATGGTGATGATAGTTTTGTAAATGAAAAATTTATCAAATATAATAAGATTAACCTTTACACATTACATACGTTATAAATGCGTACGTAGGAAATCACTACCTGTACGCAATATTATACACTGCTTTTGTCTAACTTCATTTCATTTTATATTAATAGTAAATGTGATGATCAAAAAAATACTTATTTAATTCAAATATAAATACAATTATTTATAGTCAAGAAACTTCATCTGAATTATTCATTTTGAATATTTTCTTTTAAAATTAGTTGTAATATTTTGTGTACCTATTACTATTGCGAGAATCCGAATAATACAGTTCAGTTGTTCATTAAACGGACTTGAGGGTAGCATTCATAGAATTTAATTATTATTACACCTGAAGCTTGGCTATTGTGGCTCTTTAATTGCAACAAAGCTTTCGAAACCCATTGTGTTTTAGTAATTATGGACGGTACATACCTTTTCTTTGTTGTATACTTTTAAAATCCGGATATATATCAGGATATGTATACACTATAGTGTATGATTGAAATTAAATCTTTTGTGCAATCAATATTATTTTCCTTATCCTTAAAACACTTTGAATCTTAATTTCTTAATGAAAAATTATATAAAATCCACTTTGTCCCTGGCATTCTGAGATGGGACACGAACCCATGATCTTTCGCAAGCTTTCCGGGCGATTGCTCTAACCACTAAGCTACTCAGGACTTAACGGGACTGACGAATTTTTCAAGCACTTGTTACTTTTTCGTTAATACAGATCGTATTTTCATCAATCATTCAGGCAATCCATCCAAACAGCCGAAAGATATATTTTTACATGTATTTAAACTTTCCATAAAGATGAAATTTGTTCTGATTATTAATTTTTTCAATTTTGCATTCACCATGCTACACTACTACCCTCCAATCCGCATTGGGCCAGCGTGAAGGGTCATGGTCCATTATCCTTAACCATCCATAAGGAAGGCCTGAGCCCCCGCAGTGGAGACGTATAAGGGCTGATGATGATGAATGCTACACTGAAAAATAATCTTAATGAAAAATGCTTGATAAATTTATCAAAATGGTTAATTTTTAACTGCACCGTTTTGTCATCCACTGGTTTTCATTTACGAATATCTAGCATTTAAGGTTTTCCAGTGCCTCAGCACGCACGCATCGCATGCACGACGATTCTTGATTTTCACGGATTAAAAAGTGATGGTTATTTATGGGAGTAAATAAAATATTATTATGCAGTAATAGCTCCGATTGAGCTAGGCAACTCGGTTCTAAATTATTTATCTTCATGTTATCCGACAAATTAACTGAAAAGGGATGGACATACGTATAAATTTACAAGTATGATAACTAAAATATAGTAAATGGAAATATACTATAGGTATTTTTAGTTATGATCATTAGCCCTTTTTACGCCCCCACTGCAAGGGCTTAGCACCTGGCCAAATGCAGATGGGTGGGTATTCACGACTGCAAATACAACCGGGACCAACGGCTCTACTTACCTTCCGAAGCACCGAGTAGCTCAAGATAATATTTTGTGGTCACCCATCCCGTGACTGACCCTTATCGCGGACCGCGGAGCTTATCACAAACAATAACGCGATAATAATTTATTTGATAGTACTATCTGTATTTCATTAGATCAATCCGTCGCTTACGCAATCGTTTTATTTACCGAAGCGATAAAAAAATAATAATATGTAATTTCGTCATAGTTAATAAAATAATTAAGGAATTATAAATACTTATCATAAATCTTTATTTTTTTAATATAATAATCATTCGACGAACTCTGTAACAAAATGCCTTGGGTACCGGTTTCAATGATTGGACTCTGATGTCACGAATGGTTATATTTTTACGCGTATCTTGTATCCGCTGAAAAAATTAACATAATTGAGATGTCGTTTAATTCATCTTAGCAGTCCAAGTGTTTTTAGATATGTGACATTAATTATTAAAAAAAATAAATTCGGCGGCTGGTCGACGCCATGTACCTAGTGTTTTTAATTTTACAATATGGGTATCAACTTAAAGGGCTTAATACAAGAATTCCAAGTGTTTGTCATTATTATAATCTAACTAAAAAAAAAAACAAATAAAAACTGCTGCATTAGTTACATTTTATCTTGCTCTAGTTTTACACGCAGGTGGATTTTCTGTTTCCTCAATGAGCTTGGGCCCATTTAATTTTTCTAGAATATAAACAAGGAGTTTAATCCGAGATACTATATTTACTGATATTCGACCTCTAATGTGGCGATGAAAAATTCGTTATTAAATATCGCAACTTAAAATTAATTAGTAAAATTTTATACGTTTCAGGTTCACTTTACAATAACAGTATGTTGACGCGCGAGTGGAAGAGATAGGTAATGCTGGGTCATTATGCAAAATTCTTGCTGTTGGGCGATCGTGCTTATACAAAATCTCTGATCAAACATCAAACAGAAACTAGATTTTTTTTTCTTTCACTTATTCCAGTTTCACTAAGACCACTCAGGTCAGTCAATAAAATTTGCCTGATCTGAACGGTCAATATAAGGAAGACTTCAAGAACGTTTATATGTAATCCAAACTCGAAATCCTTCTATAAAATATAATCATGAGAATAACTCATATCATCTTTTCAACCAGTTTTTCTCAGTAAAAGGTCTCTCCCATTTAGATTTGCTTATCCATGTTATAACTTTTGACTTTTACAAGCATTTATCAAGTTAAGTAGATACTTAATAATTAGACCCAATTTAGTATTTCTCTGAAGCCCGAAAGTAATTTTTGAATATTCTCTAATTTTTATTAATTATAATACAATTATAAGTACAGGATTAATAATAATATCATTTTCAATAAGTATGATATCAGATAAAGTCAAGATAACTTTACTAAATTTAATTTCAAATATTAATTTGTTGGTTTATCTACTACTGCGTCGGAAGCCGAAACAAAATGGACGCATTCAAGTCCATAATTTTATTTTCAGTTTTATTTAGTTATTGTTGGGCGAAACATGAGCAATACGATCGGTAAGATTTCTTTATGTAATTTTAATAAAAGACGTATCTTTGAGAAGTATTTGCCTGAGTCTTCATTTGAGGCATCATTGTCAGCCTATCAAAGTTTTCACTCTTGAGACACATGTATTTTCCTTATGAATGGAATCGAAACGAATAGGGAGAATGAATTGACTGCTAACTACTGCATATGCAGCCGGTACCAACAGATTAACGGGATTTCCGGAGCTGCTGAAATACCTAATACATGTTTGGTCATCCATCCTATGAAGGTTAAAGTTTGCTAAACCTTCGTTTCGCATGCTCTTACTACTGTGCCATCGTGGTTTTTGTTAATTTCATGTTTTACTCAAACAAATTTAATTAGTTAACGGTTTTATTAAAATTGCCATTTATTTTGTAAAGGTTTTGCTTTTTATTATATTAAATTAAACCGTTCTATACTAATTTTAATCGGTACTCATTTTTAAGAAATACCCGCCAATTTAGGCTTTTTAATTATTGTTACCATAAATTAATTCATTAAAATTAAGAAAATCTTAAATTGTTACTTTAAGACATTATTAAGTTTATAATCTTTGATAGTCTTTGGCCGAATAGCTCACCTGCCCTGCGATTCTATAAAAATCCAGACCCGAATTAGAATTTACTCATGTGTTCGAATTTACGTCATTTAGAAGAGAAATTCTATTGATTTCATTGTTTGTATAAAAATCCTGCGTATCTCGGATATTCTAATCCTACATCATTTTGAAACTCACTTCACTAATGCCACGAAACGTTACTACCAACTCATGATTTAGCGGATGCTGCTTTTTGTAGTGAATTCAGACACCTGAGTGAATTCGAATTCGGGTTTTGATTTTTACAGAATCGCGGGGCTGTTCAAAGTTTCGCCATCATATCCCATTTGTTACCTGATCAGGTCAATGTAGAAATATAATCTTATCTACCTTGTATCGTGTCTGTTTGTGGTGCAACATTTGTTTTTCCAGATATTCCATTTTACAAGAGCACGAGTTACATTTTCTTTTTGAGCAATTTATGTGATTATTGTATTTGACCAAAATTCATCAGTTCCACAAAAATCGAGATGAGATTTCGACCTATACCTTTTCACAACCCCAGAGATTGCTAAAACCATCGAGCTACCCGTGACCCGAGAGGAATAACGAGTTTCTCAACAGCCAAAAAATATTTATTGCAAATATTTTAAACTTTCTTAGATTGAAATGAAATTTATGTGAACCTTGTTGTTTAATACCTATTTAAATATACTTTCAGTCATACTTTGTACGAAGTCAAGACAATTGATTTGGCACAAGTGAAACTCTTTAAACAAGTAGAAAGCGTTTTTTTATTAGACGTATGGATTAACCCAACTCCAGACAGAGCTGGCCAAGTTTTAGTACCAAGTGATCAAAAAGAATATTTCGAAAAGGAGCTGTTTGATGCTGGAATAGAGCTCAAAGTTATTGTTGAGAATATCAAAGAGTAAGATATCTTTTATCATACAGTATTATCTTAACAACTCACAAAATACAATATTCTAGAATAATGTATAAAAAAACTTCCCTTATAAATTTCCTATTCAATAGTGAAAATCACAACGAAATCCTCCTAATTAATAATTAACACAATATTTTTAACTATGATGGTTATTAATAATATTTTTATGATTTCTACGTAAAATTGAATGAATCTAAAAGAAAACGATATTAAGATAAATAAATTCTCGGGTATTTGAAAATAATCTGTTATTTTCCTTTCAGTATACTGGACTTTGAAGATAAATTGTTGTCAAAAAGAATCACCTACAACACCAATAATAACACAAGAAATAATGAGATTTTAACTAGAATCCCAACTTATGAAGAGGTAGTACTTAATTTAATATTTCTGCATTATTATGTTTAATTTTGCATTTATATGCTGCACTACCCTCCAATCCGCATTGGGCCAGCGTGGAGGGTCATGGCCCATCCTCCTTAACCATCCATAAGGAAGGCCTGAGCCCCTGCAGTGGGGACGTAAAAGGGCTGGTGGTGGATGCTGCACTTAGAGAAAAAAGCTTGAAAATTCACCAATAAGAGTTTCAATTACATTACGTGGGACTAGAGAATTTTTGAAGTTCTTTTTCAAAGAACTTTAAAATGACGATTTTGAAATTTTGAAGTTCTTTAAGAATTTTTTTTTTATTTTTTGTTGCCATTATTTATCATATTTTCTATGTCTCCTGGGGTCTTAGTTAGAGTCGAATACGGAGAAACTACCAAAACTTACAAAACGAGCTCAGTATTATCATCTGCAGATACAGCTGGGACCATCCGAAACATGAAGAAGCTCGATTTAATAAATATTTGGCCACCCATCCTGTGCTCGGAAGATGCTTGCATCTTAAACGATACGTCCTAACCACTGCTTCAACGAGCTCTACATAGTTATTACCATTAATACTAATCATTAGATATTTTAATATGTTATGCGGGTTGCAGACTAAGAACAAAGTTATTTTATTTTAGCTTAACTTGTGTTCTAAATAATTGTTTTCAGACTATAAAGTATACCAACCATGCGTAAGGGAAATACTCTAGTTAAACTGAGCTCATTCCACTTAGCTAGTACCTCTTTGTCACATCTTTTGCCAGTGCTGTTTAGAGTCATGTTTCATTTACACTGTCTCTAATATGACCATAGAATAAAAAATATCAATGTGAGCTCGTTGAACAATTTGAGCTCGGTAACCTTAGTCGGTAACACTGTTGACTTTTTCTTAGTTTTCAATGTCCATGATTTCGACAAAGTCCATCTTCGAAACGGCTGTTTCAAACTAGAAAATCACATTAAATTAAGTCATCTATTTCTCAAGAAGCAGATCTTTTGATTTTTTGAATATAAGTTTTCTAGAGCATAATCAATTAATTTATAAGGATCACAGTCTTAGAAATCCTATCTGAGAACCTATTTACATTCGTAAACAGAAACAGATCCTTTTGAAATGTAAATTGTTTATATTTAACTAATAAATAAAGCGTATGAAATCAAAAATTCTCTCTGAAAATTTGAATATTTAAACAGTCATACTAATTTGGTTCACAATGCCAAAGACGTATAACAATTTGCACATATTAGTGAAGTTTCTTTGAATTTTGATAGGCACAGAGTTGTGCCTTTACTTCAAGTTTCGCTACGAACATATTATTGGAGTCTTTCTATTTATACAGCTGTAGAAGTATTTACTTTGGAGCCTAATTTCAATTGTTCCGCTAAATTTGGGATCAAAAATGAATATCTAAGTTATATTTAAAAAAGATTTAGGCAATATTCAAAATACAAATGCCTATATAATGAAATATATTATACTTAAATGTCGACTTGCGAAAAAACCAATTCGACACGAGATAAATTAAATCAGTTACGTCCCCAGCTTCTCTAAAAAGTCTTTCAATGTTACTGCAAAATTCCGAAAGTAAAATAACGGTTAATAACTAAGTTATAGAAATAGAAAAAGACAATTTTCCTTGACATATTATACACACAAAAATATATTATAAAAAGCAACCAAACAAGTAACTAACGTAAAATCACTGTGCGAACGCCAAATAGGTCTTTGTCTCAGCAAATACCGTTAATATGTAGAATACAGTCCATCACAGCAACGACGCTGGTATTCTTACAGGACCCATGGTGTGTCATTGTCTAGTGTGTTCTCAATATTGTCCATTTCGTAGGTAGCAGCGTATCTTCAGGAAATTGCACGAACATATCCAGACATCGTCAGTCTCGAAAATGGCGGCAAGAGTTTCGAAGGCAGAGATATTTGGTACCTGAAGATTTCCACCACGAAGTTCCAGGTTATCACAACTTCAAATACTCATTACTCGGTTTATTTAATAATTTACTAATTTTTACTAAATTTCTTCCAATACCGGTTACCAGATAAAGAAAGAACAAATCTGTAAATATAAAATTCTTGGTCTACTGAGTGACTGACTGACTGAGAGACAACGTAGGTACAGCCTAAACTACTGAGCGTAGAAAGTTGAAATTTGAAATGATGATTCCTTAGGGAGTGTAGAGGAGCACTAAGAGAGGATTTTTGCTAAGGAGGCAAAATTAGGGAATGAAAGTGTTTATGGAATTTTCTCATTTCTGGACCTAAAACTAGACCACGCGGGCGAATTCGCGAGCAAAAGCTACTTAAATAAATTTCTTTTTATTACTAGTCAAAGCATGATATTTATATTAAATTATACAAGGGATTTAAATGCGGTTTTTAACAGCATATAATGTGATTCAAGGGGAAGGTTTATATTTATAATCCAGGACCGACTCACCGGGCAATTTCAAACATTCGTCGCCTATTATACAAAACAATTAATTAAAACAAGGTTTTATTAGTATATTACCGATACAAGAATCAGCTCAGCTTTAGAACTAACGTATTGGTTATGTGCATGACTTCAGTGACACCTAGCGTCCTCAACTTGGGTAGTTTTGAGACTTTAAAATTAAACGTTTATTTTAGACAAAACATTAAAATCAACAACTTATTATTTTATGTTATAAAACAACCGCGATACTATGATTCGTATGGGCCTTTGCCCTTGGTTGTAAACTTATTTTTAATCATTCTAATTAAATAAGGTTACTAAATTTAATTTAAGAATGTATTTTATTAGGTATGTCAAAATTTGTTTAGCTCAATTTTACTTACATTTTTACTGTAATTCAAGTTATTGAAGAGCTTTAGGCTAAATACTAGACATATGCAATTTACCTGTCAAAAAGAGTCAAAACATGAATCTTTAACTTTCAGGATCCTAGTAAACCAGTGGTGTTTATGCAGTCTCTACTACATGCCAGAGAATGGATCACGTTACCAGCCACTTTATATGCCATCCATAAACTGGTGGTAGATGTGTCTGAGCGAGATGTATTACAAGATGTAGATTGGATCATAATGCCTATAGCTAATCCCGATGGATATGTATTCAGCCATGCTGAGGTAGGTTTTCAAATCAAAAACATATTGAGGACAAAAAAATATTAAAAAGAAAAACAGAGTAAACTTACTCTATTATCAAGAAAAAATAATGATAATCTTGGTAATAATAGTTTTCATTTATTTATTCGATATTTATTAACGAATTGACTGTAATAACTATAAATTATATTGATTTAAACATTTGGTCGTTTGATAATAAATAATATCTTCATTTTTGTGATCTGATCTTTCTAATTTTTATAGCTTCTGAACAGCCATATAAATTATATTTAATAAATGTCATTAATAGAACATATTCAAATCTATTTGAACCTTTTATAAGGCTTGATTTTCTATGAAGTATAAATTTAAATGAAAATTAAAACCCAACCCATAGTATTAAATAATACGGCAATGTAGATAGGAGAATAAATACTACAAAATTGGTCTTTAAAGGGAAATCATATATAAACAGCTATTACAATTATGTTTACTTTTTCCACGCACATATTTTCATAGACTTTGAGATATAATGGATCCTTTGAAGATTCCGTGTTCATTAAGTCAACATTTAATTTTATTTTATTGATTAGCAGAATTTAATGTTAGTATTAGGCGAAATAAATAAAGATCTACTTAACGGAAAATGCAAAATAAAAAAAGTGAATATAATTTATTTGCAGTCCAGATTCTGGCGCAAGAACCGTGCCAATAATTTCGTCGGCATCTGCGCAGGGGTCGACCTCAACCGAAACTTCGACGTCAACTGGGGCGAAGCTTCCAGCAGCATCTCCTGCATGGACACATTCCACGGTCCCCAGCCCTTCTCCGAACCAGAAACTCGAGCCATCAGGGATATCATGCTCGAACACGGTGATCGCCTCGAGCTATTTCTTGATATTCACAGTTTCGGCAGTATGATCCTATTTGGCCATGGAAATGGCGTGTTACCACCTAATGGTCTGATCCTCAATCTCCTTGGAGTGCAAATGGCTCAAGCTATTGACGCTGTGAAAGCTGATTTCAATCCTAATTACGTCGTCGGTAATGTCGCTCATGTCCTGTATGACGCTTCAGGCAGCGCTATGGATTACGCCAAAGTTGCTGGTGCACCTTTTGCGTATACTTATGAATTGCCTGGTTTGAGATTAGGAGTAGGTGCATTTGGATTCTTAGTGGACCCTTCATTCATTCCACAAGGGAGTATGGAGACTTGGGAAGGAATCAAAGTTGGTGCGAGATTTGTGCGTGATTTAAGGATTAGAAAATTCAAAGGAATAATATGAGATTTTGTTGATTAAATACTTTTAAAAATAATTGTATTTTTTTCATGAGCTAAAAATGTACTTGTAGTAAATTATAGTATTTTTTCAAAAATTGAAAAAAATTAAATCTTATATAGTATGTCTTAATCAAAGGTCCAAGCTTCAGACTTCAGAAAACCAGAGGATCATTTCTGGGTAAATGCGTTGCTATGTTCAATAAAGTTCCACAAAATGTAATGGACCTTCACATAAATAAATTTAAAATTCATGTTATAAACATACTTACGAGTAAAGGCTATTATAAGTTGATGACTATATTTTAAGGACCGCAATGCATGGAATTAATAGCCTTCACTTTGTTCTATAACAACTAATTATATGAGTACCAACCTACTCTACAGACTTTGAAAATTGTATTTATTATTGTTATAATATGTCTATTTTGGTAATGACATGATTGATATAAATACCATTACTTATGATATAGAGCTGGTAAGTTTTTTCGTTTGTTCTTCTTGTCAGCTAAAAGACCTCCTAAATAAAGTGCTTGAAACAAGCTTACTTAAATAAAGACATTTTCATTTTAATTTGTGAAATTGGCCAAGACACATATGCTAACATACGTTATGTTAAAATCACTTTATTTTTTATTACAATTTTATTTTTCAACAATATTATAGAAATACTGGTTAATAATTGCTCGATACAATCGACGATGCAGCTTCAACGGAAATGGAATATTCATGTTAGTTGACCGCGATAAATCTGCATCGAATCTATCTATTAGATTCAGTAGCTACGATATAATACGAAATTGAAATTATCGCCAAATATCTGCTGCGCTTTCGTTTTTTCGGAACATGTCCTTCAATGATTCGTTTCCCGAACATGTATCGACTTATTTATTATTTATTTTTTTAGCAAAAGTGTTTATAACTTCTTGGTTTCTTGATAAAATAAGTAATCAATCTATAGAGTTCAAAGCCAATAGCATTGTTACATTTTCGAATACCCTGGCGTTTCTAGTACCAGTAGGTGAGACAATTTCTCGCGCCCCTGTCTCGACTGCACACTACCGTGTTTCTTCTGGCACTTTTATTGTATCGACAATAGACACATCAATGATAATATTGATATCGATAAAATATAAATATTTATAATTTGTAATTCTACATTTTGATAACCATTTTATGATACAAACACCATATGGATTTTTTACTATCAGTAATCTAATAAAAGGGAATTAGTGAAGCTTGTTTATGAGTTGGCATTATAAGACTAATGGTTATTACTCTAATAAAATATGATATTAGAAAAAGCAAAGATTTCATTTTTTGTAATTAATTAAGGAAAAGAACTATTTAATCATATTTAACCATTGGAGCATTTACTAAAAATCTTTCACAGATATAAAGCTACATTATCAGGAAGTTACATAGTCTCATCTTCATTATCTGCCTTATAATGTGTCCACTTCTGGACCACAAGTTTTTCCTATAGGTGGAATCAAATGGAATAGGGGGAAAGGTGTATGATCCATGCGGGCTCAGTGCGGATTGGTGGATTTGGTGGATGTGATTAACAACATCAGATGCAGCCGGGAAAAACGACACCACGTGCCTGAGGCTCGGAAAAGATCGAGATAATTTTGGTCACGCATCATTTATCCTTTTCAAAGCTCAGCTCCGAAAAAGAGTTCTGTGACGGTTGAAATTTTATTAATTACTAAATCATTAAAAGCTAAACACTTCCACACTCAGAGATTTGCCAGCATCTGACCTTCGCACTGACTTTGGAACTTCAACAAAATGTCCAGCTCTAAAAAGCTCTCTATTAATTTATCTGTTTACTCGCAAACAAATATTTATATATATTAAAATAAACATTGATATTTTTTAATTTTTTTTTATGTGAAATATCCATTCTATTCCATCATTTTACGCTTTCTTGGTTAGTCTTTTCAGCTTGTTTTTATTTTTTACTTCCAAATAATTTTGTTTTCGATCGAAACAAATTTAAAATTGATTTATTTCTTAAGAAGGAAGTAAAATCATAGACAGGAGGAGTAAAGGCAAGTTTGTATTACAGATATCGCATAAACTATTATTAAAATGTTTCAGTTTATGTATACCAGCATAAAATCTCCAAGCTAAATCAAGTTACCTGACAATTAATTAAAATAACATCAAAGACATCCAATATATTGCTCAGACCTCATATTAAGTAGATTACTCTCGTTCTTTCAGATTTTGCAACAATATTACAAATTCGGAAACAACTAGAGTATCAGAATATCCAACCTGATTAAACAACTGGTAGCGAAAAGTAACAAGTACTTGAAAAATTTGTCAGTCCTGTTAGGTCCGTCACATGGATTGCGAAAGGTCGTGGGTTCGAGTTCTGTCTCAGAGTATCAGGGGTTGGTGTATTTTTTAGCATTTTTCATTAACTAAAGTTTTTTTTTTTTCACTACATTACCCTACTGGGAATCGAACTCGGGATCTCAGAGATAACAAATTAAATTCACTTGCCAGTCATTCAGCCTTTCTTATTCACGATATTTTGATTTCTCTATTCTTACTTTAAAAAACCAAAATATCGATATACTAAAGTAATAATTATTACAACTCTACTGTCCACTAGCTGTCACGTCTCACCTCCAGGCAATTTTGCCCCCTCCCTTTCCCCTAGCGGACACGCGAAGGCATTCGGCGAATACTTCACTTATTACCTATTTGACGTGGAGAAACAATGGCGGATTTCAGTTAAGGAATCTTGGCCACTTAAACGAGCCTCTGAGCTAAAAATTTACGAAGTTCACAAACAAAATAAATTAAAAGAGTTTTGAGGCTTCTTTAACTTTCGCATCTAATATTGGAAATAGGATATTTGGATTTGAGTGAAATTTGCGAGATTGCTTGAGTTATTTTCTCAATTTTTATTAAATTATTTTAAGCTGTATAGCTTATATTTAATCTCTTTTCACTCTAAAATATTTTTCACTTTCTCTTTTTTGCTGCCGAAAAAAAATGTGAGTATGACCTTCTTAAATATACCTAGTGTGTTCATAAGTTTTGAGACAAACTTTTAAACATGAAGGCCTATTCATCATAGGCCGTCATGTTTCCTAAGCATCAGAGGCAGTGTAAGGTTCTACCTCCGTTACATCACAAATTATCGAAAAAATCATTTCTTTGGAGCAGAATATTATTGGCATTATTAGACGTATTTTTTTCGGAGAAATAGTATAGGCCTTCAGTTATCATGTTAATTCATACGATAGTAGGCATAAAGGACCAAGCGACATGCATCAAGGGTTAAACGTATATCTTTCACTTTCTTGACATTCATAGCGAGTCGTGTGTACTTGCCGAAATAAGGTTCTTTTATAGACTGCCAAAAGGAACGGGGAGGGTCTACAAAATTGGAACTAAACAGTAACTATCTGCCGCAGAATCATTCTTACAGATCTTGATCGTAAAAATAAACGTGCTGTCCTTTTGTTCACAGACAGAAAACAAAAAAACATGTCAGTAAAGTAACTGTGGCGCGATTAAAACAAATATAGTTCTAGACAACATCACTGTCTCTACAATAGGGTATATTACCTCAAGCCAAATGGCAAAGGTTAAAGATTGTTTCGAACAATTTGTCTTTTTGAAATACATATATAAAGGAGAAAATTACATTCTTTCTAATTATAAAATAAGAATAACATTATATTGCTACTATGCTCGCCATTACTTCAATATTTGCTTAAAGCTCTGTGAATATATTTCTTTCTAAATTGTAATGATTTGCTAGTCATAATTTAATAAATATTTCTGACGTTCTATTTTGCAATATGTAGTCATTCATCTCTATTTGTCTCACTGAGAAGGAAATCGTTTTGTCTTGCTTTCTCTTCAACGTTTCGCTACAGGGTAGGCGCTCATTGACTTTATCTACTGACAGTTGTTTTATTGTTTCTTTCTCGCCACATTTCGGCACTCGTTGAGATAATTCTAACGCCTTTATATTGTCTGTTATCTTTAACAACCTAATTTGTAGTTCATTACCAATACGATTTTACAGATAAAGCTACAATGGTGCCAATTCTCGTTTACATTAAAACAAATCCAAATTAAAAATAAGAAATATAAATGTTTAGATAGCTAAAGTTAACATTTTATAATTTTAGTTGGGGTTTCTTTTAAAGTTTATGCTTAATTGTAACCAAAGCAATAATTTTTACTCTTGTATATGCTAAGAAATTTATTTGCATGGAATTAGGTTCCGAAACTACTGTACTGATTTAAAAAAATATTTCACCTACGGAAAGCTACATCATACGCATGTGACATAGGCTATATATTATTTACAAAAAAACTTTGTCACATCACAGCTGCCAACGGTATTAGTTTACGGTATACGTAAATATTCACGGTAAAGTAATAATAGTTACCTTTGCGTTAGTTAGAATGCTTTGAAATGCCAAAAGACCAAAAAGAGGACATTGGTCAAAAAGGGTCTTCTGCTAAGTGTATTATGAATACTCGAGGATAATAATCATCAACCAATTAAGATGAATATATTATTTAAGAAAAAATACAAGTTAGATTATTTTAAATGACAAAAAAATTAATATCGTGAGCTCCTCTTTGCTTTGTAGACGCGTTAGTCCCGGCTGTATCTGCATTCGTTAGCACCAACCAATCTGCATTGGCCCGCGTAGTGGGTTATGACTCATTTTCCGTACTCGATGTACTCGATGCCACCCATAAGGAAAAAAAGAATTCTCCATTTTAATTTCCCATGCAGACGAAGTCGAGTTTTATGTTTGACCTTTCCAGCATCACCAGCCCTTTTAGGTCCACTGGAGTAGTCTTCTTTATGGATGATTAAGGACGACAGAGCATTACATTTCACGTTTCCTAATGCAAAATGAAGGGTATTAACTACTGCAAGGCTTAACGTGCCTTCCGAAGCACGGATAATATTTTTTTGGTCACCCATCCCGTGACTGCCTTTGCGAAAGTTGCTTAACAACAACGATCGCGGGCCACACTTATCCACTACGCCGCCGTGCTAATATTTACTACAAAACTCATGTTTATTACCTACAAACGAAAAAAAGAAAGTTCTAGTTAAATTAAAAAGCCTATAAATTTATCCTTGCTTTCCTTCGATCAATCTTAAAGTTATCCATGTCGTCCTTCCAGGGATGACAAGCGTTCTCATGTCAAAGTAATTAAACTAAAGTCATCAGAAAAACGACAGCCAGCCGTTACTTTGACGTGATAATTCGTCTTTGAAACATTTCTGTTCGCTATTCGGGAAATCAGAAGTTGTAATCACATTATGAAGATTGATTTACTCTTTCATTGTTTTCTTGAAATACAGTTTAAATTTAACGTTGTCTATTTATGTTCGAAAAAACTTACGCAAATGGGCGAGCAATAATTTATAATCTCTAGCTGATTGTCTAAAATCCCTAAGATTAGTTATAGGTTATTAGCTGTTTTCACCAGAAAATTACAGGTTATATAACCCGAATATGATATAGCTTCGCGAAGGAGTAGGAATTTTTAGAATCAGTCCTGCAGTTTCGGAGCCTTTTCCATTCAAACCAACACACAATCAAATGTTTCTTCTTTATTATTTTACACCAACAAAATTAAAAAAGTTTCAGTCTCGTTGAATCTCCGATATACACTTGCCCGGTGAACAACATGTCACTAATTCGAGCTGACCTTGAAGAAATTAGGGTATGAAAGTTGCTTAATCTGAATAAAGTTGACGTTAATTTGATATATCTAAAATATTTGCAAATGAGCAGGTAGTAACTATTTTAAAACTAATTAATTTATAATCAAACAAGAAATTAGTAGTGGTGAAAAAGTAACAATTGCTTGAAAACATTGTCAGTCCTGTTAGGTCCTGGGTAGCTCAGTTGCTAGAGCCACTTCCGGATTTCGAAAGGTCACGAGTTCAAGTACCACCTCAGAGTGTAGCGTTTTATATCATTAATATAAACACCGATCTATGGTATTGGAGTAAACAAATGCAATTATGAGAAGCAAGACGATCAGAATGCATTCGTATTATCCAATAAGAATATATTTCCTAGATACCAATTCTCTTCGGATTGAAAATTGCATATGAAAATAGCCTCCATTTGTGCAACATACTTTAAAAACATGGACTCAAGTAATCTTGCCTATATTGTGTGTATAGTGCACATTCTAATAATAAGCCAGATGCTATATGAAATTAAACTTTTATACTCTAAATGTAAGTAAAATGATAGTAGAAATTTAAGTATCAAATGTACAGGTTGTCTGAAAGGCAACAACGAATAGTTACTTTTATTTATTCAATACTTTCAAATCAATATTTATTCAATAAAATAAATTTGTATCAAATGTACAGGTTGTCTGAGAAGGCAACAACGAATAGTTGATTTTATTCATTCAATACTTTCAATTCAATATTTATTCACTAAAATAAGTTTGAAGTAAATGAAACATAAATAAAGCTTATCGTAATCGGAAGTCATTTGTATTAAATTATTTTATGATTAGTTATCAGTGCTTTAAAATAATTAATCTTTATAATCTATCTATCCATAAAGATTAATTTTCAAGAACGCAGTAAATGTGAATCCAAGATCCGTAATAATCAACATAGTGTTGACACCGCAAGCTAAACTTAATTGTTAAGCCAATATCTAAGATTTCAAGTCCGGCTGACATTAAAGATCTGCGTCCCATAAGCATCTTACCATGTTTGTCAAAACTACTGGAAAATGCTGTTGCCTTACAAGTAATGCAATATATATCGAATAGAATAATATATTATCAGACATGAAATGACCCAAAGAAGGGAATTACACTTGACTATGCTGCTATTGAGTGTTATCAAAATTATCTGTACACAAAATTAGAGTGGAAAACTGGCCACAGTGGGTGTGGAGTTCATGGAGTCTCTTTCATTCTTCATACGCCTTGCCACAGGACAGCATTGTTTAGGGTAGTTTTAGTTAGAGTGCCACAAAATGTTGGAATGACCTATCACCACCAATGCGTGATTTAAAATACTGTGCACAGCTTTAGACTGAAGCTAAAAAATATTTAAATCAACAAACAGAAATCAAACGTGAGAAATGAATTATTAAGTGTTGTAGTACTATAAATCGGAATTCATTATCGGAATCAATTATCTTTATTATTTTAATTTTATTATTATAATTTGGAATTCATACATAAGGATGTATACTGTATAAATAAACTTATAACGTAATAATACTCAGTCACCTCTAATATATCACATCGTTGACATCCTTAAATAAGGTGTAGAATTATAGATTGCATGGATTTCGGCCTGTGAAGGTAACTAGGTATACATTTATAATGTATTGATGTGTGGTCGTAGGTATATTATATATTGTATTATAAATTTTTATATATTCGCAATTTTATATTATGAAATTGTGTGTGGAATTGTATGTTTTATATTTGGGTACTATTCGATTATCATAGTTTCTTTTATTTTGATTTGACCCAAGCAGGGCGTCACCACACCACCTAAGGGGGCAACTGAAAAGCGACGCTGCAGTTAAATGTAGTACATGTCGAGTTAGCACCTTTTGAGTAACACATCGGAAGCACTCAATAACTTAATAGTAATTTATTAATGTATTTTGCAAAATTGCATGTGCGTATTCAATAAATGATTAATTTCTATTATTACTGGAAGCAGTGCCCCAGGAAATTTCTGTTTGGGTTCGTACCCAGGCAAATGTTTCCAATCAACAAGCCAGTAGCACAATTCTTACTACAATAATCGGACTCAAAATTAGAAAATACTAAGTTGCACAATAAGTAATGAAAACTTAGTGAAAATTATAAGAAAAGTGGTACAAGTATTTTAATATCGTTTTATCACTCTGTCACTTTTAAGAGAGCTAAAAACTTCTGGGATTTCACGATCAATGTTCAACAGTCTTCAAGACGTAAATTTAACGTCACGTCATATCCTTTTTTTGATTATGTAAATTTATCAAGTAAAACCAGAATCGTCATTTGTAATTATCGTCCTAAGATGAAATAATTATAATTACTAAAATTTTATTGGTAAAGTTGTATGAATTTTTCAACCACATATAATGCTAAACTAGTACGTATTCGAAAGCTAAATTATTTAAGAAAAAAAGTTTAGTTAATAGTTTTGTCTCTAATTATTTCCTTAAAATTACAATTTCGAAATCTACACAGGCAAGTTCGCAGACAGTAATTACAAATAAATAGATTTCTTCAGCATAATAGGTCTTTATCTTCGGTATTATAAGTCTCCTCTGCTACATTGGGCCTTTAACACCTTTCCATTGGGCTTTTAGAATTGGTGTCATTAAATTCTTGATTTATTTATAACCGAATCTAAAAACGGTTCAATATTCGACCAATATAAATGAAACTTTATTACAATGACGCAAAATTTGTAGCATTAACGTATAAGGGCTTAGTAACACATGTGAAAAACTTTGTTAAGTTAATTTTTTTTTTACGTCGTGGAAATGCATTAGGCACTACCCCTGCCGCCCGGCAAACGACAGGGAGTGTGTGGGACTCTCCTACGTGAGCCCACCCCGTGGCTAGCCGTGCGGTGGGCTCCCGTAGGCCTACCCACAAAAACCCCTCTCCTCCCCGTTCTCCTCCTGCGTTGAGAGTCCGCGCGAGCATTCTCTTCGCGCACCCTCTCCGCAGTCTCCTTCTGTGAGATGACGTCCTCGCAGAAGGAGACCATTGCCCACCACGAGCTCTCGCTATCCATCATGGCTTTTACCACGCTCAGTAGCGACAAGTCGTGCCCCACTGCCCTTACCAGAGTGCGGCGCTGCGCAGCCGACGCGCTGCACACTTCCAGAGTGTGCTGCGCTGAGTCCTCCACCGCGCCGCACTCGTGACATACTGGGGTCTCTTCCCTCCGAATCCTATGCAGATGGTCACCGAAACAACCATGCCCACAAAGTACCTGCACAAGCCGGAAAGTCAGAGTCTCATGTCGTCTATTCCTCCATTCCCATAGGATTGGACGGATTGCTTCTAGAGTGCGGATTCCGTATTCTGGTACCGCGATTGACCGCTCCCATTCCAGCATTAACTCTTCCTCCGCTTGCTGCCTAGTCCTTAATAGAGCTTCTAGAGAGGGGCGTTCACCTCTACATAGCTCTAGCCTCTGCGCGGGTATTGTAGACCGCCTCTAAAACTTTTACCTCTAATTCCCAGGGCGGCATACCGGCAAGAACACAGCCCTTGTTAAGTTACCTACTGTTATATAATGTCTTTATGTTTGTCAATGTATTTCTTGAAAAAGAAACTTCTATTTCATCTTCATTTTTCGTTCATTTTTTTTTATTCCCATCTCAGAGTGCCACAGAGTAAGTGTATTTTTTAAGCATTTTTCTTAAGAATAATTAAAACTTATCTGAAAAAAGATTTTTGAGAAACTTCAATTGAAGACGGGCAATTTTGCGTCGGTTAATAAATATCCCACTTCAATAGAAGCTTAGTTAACTATTTATACGTTTATATTTATTGCACGTTTAATCAAGTACATTTACGATTAATATTCCTTTTTAAAACAAAGCATTGATTCCCATTTCAGAATGCCAGGGAGTAAGTGTATATCTAAATGTTTATAATAATAGCAGCAGAATTTATATGAGTAGGTTTAATTCATAACAATATTTCGCAATATATATTACAGATTCAGCAGTAGGGTGTTCTTATTTCGTCATTTTTGTTAAAATATAGAAATAAAATAAAACACCTTTAATATTGAGCATAAATTTATTGATTAAAATAAAAAGCCTTATATTCTTCCTTCATTTCAATTAGCATTCTTCTGTCTAGCACTATCAGCTGCGAGTCTAGCGCCGGCTTTAATTCCTTCCCAAGTTTCATACCCAGCTTGTTCTATAAAATCTGGGTCAACTAAAAATCCGTTTAATTGACCTTGAATATTATTAAATGCTGGAAGCTCAAAGGTATATGAAAGAGGTACACCTATACTCTGAACGTAATCACTGGAACCACCAGAAGCAGCGTACAGAATATGGAAAACATTGCCAACTACGTAATTCGGTTTCCAGTTCCATTTCACTTTATCAATGGCCTCAGCCATGGTAACTCCAACATAGTTCAACGCTAAAGCATTGGGAGGCAATTGACCATTACCATAACCGAACAAAATTATGCTCCCAAAACTGTGAATGTCGATATATAATTCAATACGGTCAGAATATTCATGCAAAACTCTCCTGATGGCTTGAGTTTCGGGCTCAGAGAAAGCAGAAGTGCCGTGGAACACGTCGCTGCAGACATTGTTACTGGAAGCAGTGCTCCAGAATATATCAAAATTTCTATTCAGATCCACACCCATGCAAAAGTTCCCAATCATGAAGCCGGTGGCACGATTCTTTCTCCAAAAGCGTGTCTAAAATAATTATATAAAAAATTTTGAGCAACAGTATGAAACCGAGAAGACAAGTTATAAGTACTGTATTAAATGAAGGGGCTAAGTTCAATGTACCAGTAACATGCAGAATACGAATATATTTGAAATACAAAACCAGAGTTTGATGATTCAAGATAGAAGTTCAAATGCGTAGCGGTCAGTGTGTTCTATTTGCGATACAGGTCATCTCAATCATCTCAAAAAAAACGCCGGAAATATTTATAACTCTATCGGAAATTATGAAAGACACGAAAAGCCGTTGGTTTCGACTGCATCAATCTGCACTGAGTCAGCGTGGTGGTTGTGGTCCAATGTAATTCGATTCTACCCTCAGGTAAGGCCTGTGGCCAAGCAGTGGGGATATAAATAAGCTGATGATGACAAAATCTTACCTGAACTTAAATACAGTTCTCACTCGTATCTGAACATCTTATCATATAATATAAAACTGTAGTAGTTCGAAATATAGAATAAAGTTATAAGATACATAAAAGAACATAATAAACATAAGCACCGTATCCAAAAATGGAGAACTTACATTAGTGTGACTGAACTCGTAGCCATCGGGATTTGCAATTGGCATTATGATCCAATCAACTTCTTCCAAGACATCGCTGTCAGTCACATCAATGACCAACTTTTCGATCGCGTACAAAGTAGCTGGTAAAGTTACCCATTCACGCGCATGAAGCAGAGATTGCAAGAAAACTACAGGTTTTCTAGAGACCTGAAATAAATAAAACATGATATAACTTTAGTTGTCCATATGAAACAAATAAATGCTTTCTTAATTTCTAGGTTTTATAAATACATTGGAATAGCTTGAAAACACAAGAAAATTTATTAGTAATTAGTAAACAAATATTTATCTTATCGCCCCAGACTAAAATTATCGAGTCATTAATGATTTTTTTTTTTATAAAGTAGATTATCAATGGTTTTCTTTACAAAATAATCTTACCTCAAAATTAGTTGTAGATATCTTCAAGTACTTGATCGGTCTCCCTTCAAAGCTTTGACCAGCGGTCACTACTGTGACAAGATTGGGATACTGGTTAGCCAAACGATCTAAGTATGCGTCAACCTATAAATATTTAAAATTTAAGAAATCAGCCAGTATACAGTACTACGAGTATAATCCAGATTCTTATTGATACTGAAAATGTGTGTGACCTCTTCCTATAGACTTTGTGAATGTTTATAGATGTGTCAAAGACCTAGTAAAAGTATCGATGAAATAGTGGTTCTCGCATTTATTTTTAATCTCGACCTCTTTTTTACATACTTCGGAAAAATATTTGCTCCCCTTCCTTTGCCCTTCTCTGCCACCGTCAAAAATATTGCCTTACATTTTACCCACAGTTGCAAACCGTATAAAATAGTACTTACGACTGCCGTTCTGTGAATTTGATTGAAATCAAGGCCTACAGACGACCTATTGCTACGTTTAGATGCTGCAGCAGCCAAAAGTTGTTCTTCTTTGTCTAATTGCCTAAAATGAAAAGTATACATTATATTTTTTGTGGATAGTTCAACATTTGTCTAACGAAATTTCGAAATTCTCTTAGTATATTATTAAAATAGCATCCGTAAATATTCTCTGTGCATCTGAGGCAGAGTCATGTCCTACTTCCGTCCCATTAAAAATTATCGAAAAATTAGTTTTCTAAGCCTAATCTAAGCCTTTTGAAAATAGATAGATTTTCGTTTTCGGAATCATGATTCTGTCTTATAGACTAATAGCGATAACATATGCTCGAAAGCACAAATTCACGCGTTTGTATTTATTTGATTCCTTACTTCACATTATATTATTGAGGTGACTTAGATGATGCAGCTAATGCTCATACAAGACGCGTGTTACGATATCAGAAAAATAGTTACTCACTCCTTGATGTTAGTGATCGTACTCTTGTATTTCACTTCAGTTGCAGTCAAGAGCATTTCGAACTGCTGCTTGTAATCTTTCGATACGAAGAACTGTCCAGGTCTGTTTGGCCGAGCAGGCATCCACATGTCGATAGGGAGCTGGTACTCTAGCTGATTGACAAATGTTGCCTGCTCTTCATCTTTTACTGACACTTCGTATACTGTGTATCTGAAATTGTTGTTCAATGATGTGTTAAAAAATTTACTACAGACGGGATATTAACTTGACTCTTTTTAACCGTCTTCATAAAGGAAGTCGATGAAGATCGATGTTGAAATTATGCAAAATTCATATATATTAGTCTACTTATGCTTCTAAATTTTATATGTATTTATGTTTGTAAACGTATTTCTCGCAAATTAACAAAAGAATTGCATTTTTTTAAATATTTTAAGTTGTCCACTCAGGGCAAAGCACAAATCTTATCAAAAATTACTAGAGTAGTTTTGAAGATATGAACTGCTAAATTTAACCGACGATATAAAAGGAACAAATAATTAAAAAAATATATTACATAATTTTCTTCTCAAAAGCCTCACCAGACTTCAATAAAAGTTTCTTGGATTAATTTTGTGTTTTATTATGAGTTTTTGAATTCGATTTTATTTTATTTTTATATTCTTTTCCATACCACCATAGATACTAACCGCTAAGCCATCGTCATAAGTATAGTTAGGTCGACTTGGTGACGTCGTCAAACTAGTATACCATATCGGTATTTGCTTATCATTCGTCATTTCAAACCTCTTTGTAAGTAATTGTTTTGATAAAAAAAAATGAAAAATGTTCGTAGTATGCAAACAATAGACACATTTATTGCCGATTTTTTTTTTGAATACACAAAAAATATCAATCAATACATAGCATAAATAAAAAAATCGCTTCGCGCTGTCTGTACGCTGGGATCTTTTAAAGTACACAACGGATTTTAATGCCCTTTCCATCAACATACAGAGTGATTCAAGACGATGCTTTATATACATAATAGAGGTATAAGACTACGCAGGCGAAAGCTTATAATAATCTACTACACGCAATGATATTTCTTTGTTACAAAACTCGAACAATAATAAATCCATGGACATTTAAAAAAAAACTAAATTCAGAATAATAATAGAGAAGATCAAAAACCATAATATTACCCTTCATATTCTTCGTGTTTGGCCAACACTGAATTTAGAAATATGCAACAAATTAACACACACTTTAAAATATTGGCCATTTTGTATTGACCCGGCCAATTACGCTTGACGAATAAATTCAAACGACTTAATCATAGCCTCTTATTCATATTAAATTATCTCATGATACGAATTATCAGGTTATTTCATTAATCTAATGTTAAAACTTAAAAATGATAATTAAGCAATTTATCTACGTAAAAACGTAATATCCCACGATAAAATAATTTATCCAATGGATAAATGTCTGTCTCTTTAATCTACTACCGCTTGTGTTTTTGATTGAAAGGTTTTGTTATTAACCTAATCCTTCAAAAAAGTAGCCTTTAGTAATAATAATAATAGCTTTTTATTCTTCTCTTTCAACATGAAGTCACCTATTTTTGAGGTTTGTTAGAATAAGAATTTAGTTGAGATCTTCACTAACTGTCAAGATCTCTGTAAATAGGTAACTGATAAGACCTCCAGGAAGACGGAGGAATGATTCGAGGAAGGTCACCAGTAGAGGTTGGATGAGAGTAGCCAATAACATTGTAAAATAGAGTTCATTGGGGAGACCTATGTCCAGTAGTCGACTGCTTTTGGCTGATGATGTAACTAAGATAACAAAAATTAATTTGCCGCAAATTAATCTGCGTGTAGCTCGGTGGCGTAGTGGATAAGCGCCGCGGCCCACGATCGTTGTCGTTAAGCAACTTTCGCAAGGATGGGATTTCACGGGATGGGTGGCCAAAAAATTATTATCTCGAGCTACTCCGTGCTTCGGAAGGCACGTTAAGCCGTTGGTCCCGGTTGCATTTGCAGTCGTTAATACCCTCCAATCCGCATTGGGCCTGCGTGGAGGGTCGTGGCCCATCCTCCCTAACCATTCATAAGGAAGGCCTGAGCCCCTACAGTGGGGACGTAAAAGGGTTGATGATGATGAATCTGCGTGGCATTACTATTTCCGATAGCCTGATTTTGCTCCTATTTTCATGAATTTCTTTATAAATATGGTCAGTAGTTTTAAAGTGAAAGGGTAAGAATATAAGTAAATGGCTGATTTTCTACACAAACTTCTGCGATATCCGGGATAAAATTTATCGTATGTCGACAACCTAGTAACAAATTTCATCTAAATCGATTTTATATATATCCAAAGTTACCTCTCACTGAACTAATGTTGCGATTTCGTTTTTATAATATTAGTAAGGAAGTAAGGATGGTTATAAAAGAAACTGCTACTTTTAAAAAAATAAAATAAGTGTAGTTTCATAAAATCTACCTTCTTGGAAATCCAACATCATTAGCTTGATGCCAAAGCGAAGATTTGTAATACCGCGAATTTAAGATAGTATTTCCTGAGGGTGGATTTTCTCGTCGCCATTTAAAAATTATGTTTTAAATCCGGTCGGTAAGTTTTATACAAAGTCGCAACATTAATTAGGACATCTGCATCAAAAACATGATACAAATAAAAATTGGTGAAATGTAAGGCTTAAGGTTTCTTAAGGAGGTGAACTATACAGAATTATGCGGTTAGTAATATATTACATTCTCGATATAAGTTACTTTATTGATCGAGTTGTGATCTCATTTGGTGGAAATTTTGTGTAATGATATTCTTAATTTTGACAATGTCGTTTTAGTCATTATTAAAGTCTTTGCACATAAGTCATGTTTACATATATATACTATTTTTAGGACCAGGATAGACTACTGTGCTATTATCTTTTGAGTTTCTAAACCAGTTTTAATTTATATTTTACTTGGCGTTATTATCGCGTTTACTAAATTAAGATTCATTACATTCTCCCCCATCTGTTTTCTATGGTTTTCAGCAGACCCTGCACATAAGTAAATCAACTACACGATATATGGATATTTTTAATTTTCTGAATTGGGTTTACTCAATATAGGATTTAATAAAAATGCACAAAAAGTTCAATACTTTGTTGAAATTTAAGTGCATTTTGATTGAATTCAACGTCAACCAAAATGAGGCCAATATAAAAACGTGATAAGGCCCCAGTAGCCTCTCCCTTAAAATTATTTGTTCGCCAAATTTCCTATATAATAAAATCCAAAATAAATATAAAAATAAACCTTATGTAAAATGACATATCAATTATTCTACTTTCCTATTTTATAATCCCACATTGTTTTTGAAGTATCATTACGATTTATATTACAAAACTACAACATTTTTGCATGTATCAGCATTTACACTCAAAAACCTCGTCCAGGGGTTCAACTACTCGTACCTAACTCTCTAGCCATAATTTTAGGCATCAAAGTTCAAAGGATACATCTTAGCAATGTTGTGACGGTATCTCGTTGTAGAACTCTTTCATGTAATTTGTTTTATTTTGGGATAAATTATTATGTTAGGGCTGTCAAATTCATAATCTTCATTCTTTATCATTCGTTCAACTTACTAAATGTCAAAGTAGTAAAACGTATCTAAATGTTGGCATAACGTCGCTAATACGAGGGTCAAACTGAAAGTTCTTAGAACTGGCCACTTATAAACAATATAATAAAAAAATAATTCTAAAATTTGAAAATATAACTCTTTGCCAATATTACTGAGTATATATTTCATTCATTTGTCATTTGTTTTACGATTTGGCGGCAAATTGAAAATTGTCTGTGTCACGTCATCATGAATTTAACACGAGAAAATTTTCGTGCAATGATTTTTTATGACTTTCGATGTCATTTAAGTCAACAAGAAAGTTATGATAGACTACGATTGGCCTTTCACGATGAAGCCCCATCTCGTGCGACTGTTTACAACTGGTTTAATGAGTTTAAACGTGGTCGCACTAATCTCACTGATGATTTACGTGAGGGACGGCCTTCTACGGCGACGACTGAAGATAACATCTGTGTTGTGCGGCGTATGATAGAGACTGACAAAAGAGTGACCTATCAACAGATTCGGACAAGCTTAGGCATCGGTATGAGTCAAGTGCACAAAATCCTCCACGAACATTTAGCGGTCAGGAAGCTTTGCGCCCGGTGGATACCTCATAATTTGACTGAGACTCAAAAACTCCATCGTGTGGATTGGTGTCGTAAAATGATTGAAAGATTTAACGGAGGTGACTCAAATGCTGTGTTCGACATACTAACAGGTGACGAAAGCTGGATTTACTGTTATGATCCTAAAACCAAAAGACAATCTGCTCAGTGGGTGTTTCCTTTCGAGGAGTTGCCAACTAAAGTGAAGAGAGATCGAAGTGCGGGAAAAAAAATGGTGGCCTCGTTCTTTGGAAGGATAGGTCATTTTGCAACAATTGTGTTAGAGGATCAAAAAACAGTTTCTGCAGAATGGTACACTACCAATTGTTTGCCACTTGTCTTGGAAAAAGTTCGAGAGAAACGACCTCGCAGTAGGATCCTCCTTCACCACGACAACGCCTCGTCGCACACCGCCAAGCGAACGATCGACTATTTGGCGACATCAAACGTTGAATTACTGGGTCACCCGCCGTATAGCCCCGACCTCGCGCCTTGTGATTTTTATTTATTTCCAAAAATTAAAGAAAAACTTAAAGGAAAGCGGTTTATGAATGCTGAAGAAGCGGTGGCTGCGTATCGCGATGCCATTGAAGAGACCCCTAAGGACGAGTGGGCAAAGTGCTTTTCCCAGTGGTTCCATCGCATGCAGCGGTGTATTGACGTGAATGGACAATATTTTGAAAAGATATAATAAAACTAATAACTGGCTAATGTAATCAGTTTTTGATTTTCTAAGAACTTTCAGTTTGACCCTCGTATTTCTCATCCTATAGTCAAGTTCTCCCACGACCTTTCGTACGGCTAGAGTTATGCCTAGAAAGTCGAGCGGTCGCACCAGACATGTAAGCAGGTACACACTTTTTGTCTGATAAGAAAACACTTATTAATTCATTGTTTATTTAATGTACTGGTAAAAATATAAATTGAAATAAACCTGTGTATTATTCAGAAATCATTTATTAATAATTCAATTGAAATAAGTATATACTGTTCGTTTGTCATGTTCTTTCTGGCACTATCATCTGCTTATCTAGCACTAGCTTTTACTTTGGCAATAAAACAACTGATTTCCTGGAGACCTAGAAAAATGAGAAGAACTAGTAATATAGCTTAATAATTGCGACAATTTTAAAGCTTTCTTTATTTTTTGCAAACTCTAAAATACTAGCTTTGAAGCTCCAAGTTATGTAAAAGTTTGCAGAACTAAAATATTTTCATTTATCAGTCTTAGATCTAATTTCATTAAATTAAAAATGCTTTTATCCAGTTATGGAAATATTCCGGTTGATATAATGATAATATAGAGGTAATTAAAAACCCAACGATAAACATATTCAAATTGTTATCAGTGTACTTATCATCAACATCGCGATAATATCCCCTCATTCTTTAATATCAGTGATAACACTCTTGTATTTCACTTCAGTTGCAGTCAAGAGCATTTCGAACTGCTGAAGAACTTTCGAAGAACTGTCCAGGTCTGTTTAGCCGAGCAGGCATCCACATGTCGATAGGGAGCTGGTACTCTAGCTCATTGATAAATGAACCCGTAAACCGTATACCTTACACATCATGCACTTATTGGTGAAGCCATTAAACTTGGAAACCGCAAAAACCATAATAAGTTGCATATTAAACGTTAGAAGTGGTTAATGGACGCACTGTAACAGAATTTATAATAAATTGTTTGAAGAGCTTGTGGGGTAACGAATATGATAATATAGTGTGTCGTATATGTTTTCAGCAGGACGTATCTTAAAAAATGAATGAATGTATTAACAAATTCTTTATTGTGCACCATAATTATATAATATGACAAATGATACAGTTTAATAGTACAATCGGCTGCCTTATCGCTTTAGAGTCATTTTTTACAGGTATGTTAGACTGGACTGTTACTAAATAGACGAGTAGTAGATGGTAAAAACTTCATTACCAAATATGAAACGTGACACGTTTAGCTCATGTTCTGCATAGAATAGCATAGAAAGTCCGTTTTGAATATCTGGATGTGGATACTTTGATTTAAAATATGGAAATAAAAATTGAATTCCCCGCAAAGAGTAAGAATTTTCAAAGGAAAGTCTCGGTATTCCGTTGCCTTCACAGCCCGTAATTACGAGGTGGAATAGATGGCTTCAGGCAGCAGATTATTATAAAAAATAGTTTAATAGTATAAAATCAGTCCTCGCTTGTAGGGCTACAGA